GGGCCCGGGCTGGGGATTGGAACCTGCCACCTTAGGTGTATGTGGCTGGCACCTTAGCCACTTGAGCCACAGGCTCCGAGCCCACCTTCTCCTTTCTATAGTTTCTTTTGTGCTTCTGTTGGTTCTTTAGGCTGGAAGATATAAATATTTATAGGGGGCAGTTTCTGGTAACATCCACAATATGTACTAAACTAGAAAAATCATAGCACACCAAAGCCTATTTTTGTTTTATCCAGCAAATATGAAGTTGTGACTTAAAAAAAATTGAATTAGGGATGCCTGTATAATACAAATAGCTGTTCATACTCAAACAGACATACATCTCCATATGTTTGAGCAATAATGAAAAGAAAAAGCAAAATAGGGTTATTTGAATTAAGAGATGGGTTGAAATATGTATAATTCAAATTTAATTTTTTTTGTTTTTTTTTTAAGACAGTCTCACTATATCACCTTTGGTAGAGTGCTGTGGCTTCACAGCTCACAGTAATCTCAACCTCTTAGGCTTAAGCAATTCCCTTGCCTCAGTATCTCAAGTAGCTGGGACTATAGGTGTTCGCCCCAACACCTGGCTATTTTTTTGGTTGTAGTTGTTGTTTTAGTAGGCTCGGGCTGGGTTTGAACCCACTAGCTCAAGTGCATGTGGCCAGCGCTCTAACCACTGAAGTAGGGGTGTAGGGCCATTAATTTCTTGATGTGTATTTATAATTAGATTTCTAAATGGTTCTAGCATTTAATATTTTAATAATAGCTGAGAGCCTGTACAGCCAAAGAAGAGCTATCTGTGCCCAGTCATGATATGTTTTATTAGAACTTTCAGAATGGGCTCAGCACCTGTGACTCAAGTGGCTAAGGTGCCAGCCACGTACACCCAAGGTGGCAGGTTTGAATCCAGCCCGGGCCCGCCAAACAACAATGATGGCTATAACCAAAAAAATAGCCGGGTGTTGTGGCGGGCGCCTGTGGTCCCAGCTACTTGGGAGGCTGAGGCAGGACTCGCTTGAACCCAGCAGTTGGAGGTTGCTGTGAGCTGTGATGCCACAGCCCTCTACCCAGGGGGACAGCTTGAGGCTTTGTCTCAAAAAAAAAAAAAAAAAAAGAACTTTCAGAATGTTAGATGTACAAAGGTTTATTGATGGTTTTTGTTTTTATTTTTCTTACGGTTTATTTCCTTTTCCTTCTACTTTCTACTACCTTTGGTACAAAGGTGTCCTGAGTTCTCACCCATTCTGAGTTCCTACTGGCTTGGTTTTTGATAGCCATATCTTTTTGGATTGTCATAAATAGTAATGCTCCAGAAATACATGATGATGGAAACTTGGTGATACTTCCACTAGTTCAGGGTTCTCCACAGTTGCAGTAGAACTATGCTAGCAAATATATTGGGACTTTCTGTTTCCTTTACTTTCTCTTTTCTTTTATCTTGATTAAAAGTATAGAAGAAGTAGAATTAATTTCAGATAAGCTATTTACTGCTTTTTAAAGTTTATTTGGAATGTTTTTCCTTCTTCTCTTTCCTCTTTTTTATGTTGTACTGTAACTCATGATTGCCTTCAATTCTATTACCGTTTTTCTAAAGAAGTTTCCTCATTCTGTCATTCCTCAAATACTTAAGAATCCATATATTTTAGTTTTTCCCTCAATAGAAGATTCTTCCTTACCATAGACTAACAAAAACTTGGTATGAACCAAAAGCTACACTTTGCCACAGATAGAATATGCCCTAGGAGATCCATATGTTGTATCCAAGGGGAAGTAGCTGGTTGATCTGTTGTAGGAGGTCTGACAACTAAGTTGTGGACTCATCCTAGAAAAAGTATTGTTGCCTTTGAAGTACTCCCTTTGCCCTGACACCTGCACCTAGCTTACCCTTCAAAGCAATTTTGGAACTTTTTTTCGGGAATGATTATTAGAGCTGCCATTGTGTGAGATCTGACAATTAAATTTGTCAACTTACCACTTTGTACTTATGTTGGCAGAACTGTACAAACAACTCCGTAAGATTTCATAACCTGGGCTCGGCGCCTATAGCTCAACCGGCTAAGGCGCCAGCCACGTACACCTAAGGTGGCGGGTTCGAATCCCCAGCCCGGAC